ACGTCGGACCTCAGGGCGCCGCCGGCTTGGAGCTTCGACTCGGCCGGGGTCCCCCAACCCCACCGTGCGCCCACACGGTCCTGCTTGTGGGCGACCCTGGGGTCCTGGCTGCCCCCGCCGACCCCGCCCCGTTGCCCCCCAGTTGGCCCCCCGTTCCTCCACGCACCCCGTCGTCCGGGAAGGGCCAAGGCTGGCCCACAGCCGGGACTCCCGTGAGAACACGTTAACACGGCCTCCCTGAGCGCCCGTCGGGGGCCTGGCAGGATGGGTCTGAGCCAAGAAAAAAAGATCCCTTTCTTGTTTTCTTGGGGAAATGGTGGTCTCGGGTCTTGTCCCTCCCTGAGTCCACAGCCAGGCTAGTCGCTGCCAACCCAGGCTGTCCCCTGGTGGCAAGCCCCAGCCCTCCTCATCCTCCTCCAATTTAAATTTTGGAGGTTGAAACTGCCTTTTGCAAACTTTCTTTCTTGCCTGGGGTCCTTGGGGGGAAAAATGGCCTAAATGAGAGAGACAACACGAGGTTATCCATCCCAGAGTCCCTGTGACCAGTGACGCTCTCAATGGGGCTTCTGGAAGGACTGTGCCTTGTTGGTGCCCCTGTCTGTGTCCTGAGCACTGCCAGGGATGTGGTGGGATTCACAAAGTCATGAGTTTCCCAGCATTGGCTCCTGGGACCCCTCCAGGCAGGGGAGGGGGCCAGTCTGGATAGGCAGGGGTGTCCCTAGGTGTCCACTCTGTGGGAGCCCTGGTCTTGGGCCTAGCCCAAGTTCAGCTGGGCCTGGTGGCGAGTGACCAAGGGGTCAGGCGCTGGAGACGGGAGCAGGCAGAGTCAGCACCCCTCCCTGGAGGACCAGGAGGAGAGCTCCCTGTGGTGCCCTTGGCCAGGCACATCAAGGACGCCGCTAGTGAGAGACTCTGGGTGCTGGGTGACCATGGAAACTTCCCCAGGGATTGAAGCTGGGCTGTCACCTCACCCCGTTGACTTCGCACGCTGGTGTGCCCCACATCAAGTCACCTGCAGAGTGAGGGGCGGCGGGCATGGGCTCAGCCGGGTGGACTCAGGGACAGAACAGGTCCCTGTGGGAGGACATGGCTGGGTAGGGCCTGGGTCCCCAGGCACGGCAAGGGAGCAAGATTTTCGCTAACACGCTCCGCCTCTGTGGCCCTTGGCACCACAGCACTTGTAACTGGCCAGTCTCCTGTGAGCTCCCTGCGGCTGGGGCCCAGCGTGGCACATTGCCCAAGTCGGGTGCCCCCGACGGCCTGCTGGTGCTGCACGGAGAGCCCAGAGGATCGCTCCAGCCGCAGGTCCAGGCTCCCCCCAGCCCTCAACAGCCCCTCTGACCACCTCCCCCCAAATCCTGTCCCCTCCCCAGCTGTCTTTTCCTAGTGAACTCCAAGCTTGCTCCAGCCTGGGGTGGCCTGTCCCTGCAGACTCCTCTCCCGGATGGTCACATGGCAGGCTTCTTGGTGGCGTTCAGATCTCGGTGTTAACGTCACCCCTCAGCCAAGCTTTCTCTGCTCCCTTCCCATCTGCAGCGAGCTCCACGCCCCCCTCCCGCCCCCGACTGTCCCTCTCACTGCTCCCCCTGTATTTTCTTCCTAGAAGTTAGCAATATGCAAAATGACGTTTGGTCACATGTGCTTCTGGCTGTCGGCCTCCAGGGCCTGTGTGTGACAGGCTTGGTGTATGTGGAACTGAAGGGTTGACGGAGAGCCAAGGAAGGGAGGGGTAGAAGGAGAACAGGTAGAAAAGGAGGGATGCGGATTGGCGGAGCGTCTCCCCGGAGGGGCTCTGGCTCTCCAGGTCCCTGTTGTTGCTGCCCGAGAGGGCCTCCAGGTCTCCTGGCCCGGGAGCAGTGGCGTGGAGGAGCAACAGCGGGGACGTCAGTGGCCCAGGAGTGGCCCTGACCATGCGCTTCATCAGTTGTCCCCTCCGTGCTCCTTGGGGATCACGAGGCAGGGTGTGCAAGGCTCAGCGAGGTCCCGGAGACCCCTCCAGGTAGGCGAGGGGACAGCACGTCCTCCTCTCCCTCCCCCACGCATGCTGCCACGCTCGCTGCACCCCCCGAGGTGCCCGTAGGGGAAGCACCCGGAGAAGACGAGCAGCAGCCATGGTTGCACCTGCACGAGGGGCTCGCACTCCTCCCTGGTGTGCCCGGCTGGCACGTGTTGGATACGGGCAGCGTCTGGGGCCTCGGGGCCGTGGTGAGGGCAGCCATGACCCTGATGATCAGCCCGTAGCTGTGGGTGCCAGATGATCCGGCTCAGGCTCCTCTCCCTGCCGCCCCCGGGCAGGCACTGCAGGGGGCCTGCTCTAACACCCGGGGCTCGGGGCTCGGGCCGTCCTTCGCCACAGCCTCCCATCCTACGTGCACAGCTGCTCCCCATCCTGGAGAGGCCCAGGGCTGGCTCTCTGGCCATCGGGAGACAGCCCTGACAGGGACACGCAGGCCCTGTGCATCCAGAGAGGGCTCCAGAGAGGGGTGCGGGGTTCCGATGGGCTCGGCAGCAGGGACAGGGGACGCTGTGCAGAAAGCGCTGGAGGGGTGGGTGGGGGCTGCCGAGGGTGAAGGGTTCTCCGCATGCGG